GCCGCCGCGGGCCTGGCACCAATGGGGCCACGGTGGTAGGCGGCGCCCCCGCCGTACCCCGCGCTGTCCCCTGTCGGGACGCGCGCGGGAGAGCGGTTGCGCGGCGTGCTCGGCTGACCTGCGTCGCGTTGGTCGCGCTGCTGGGTGCGCTGCTGGTGCTGTTGGTAGCGCTGCTGGTCGGCTCTCGAGAGCGGGCGGGCGTCGGGGAGGATGGGCGGCACGTCGGGCCGCCGCCAGCCCTGATAGACGTGCTCGAAGGCATGGTCTGGGTAAGTCTCCCCGACGGGTGAGTAGCGCCGCACATGCTCCACGTAGTCAATGTTCTGCGGCTCGGGGAGCACCGTGATGTTCACAGCCCGCTGGTGCGCTGGTCCATAGAGACAGAAGCTACCACGGTTGCTGCGGTCGTGGTTCAACTCGGCTTCGGTCGTGGCACGACTCACCATGGCGTCACAGAGGCGCATGTCGTAGTCGAGAGCTTGAGGCCCAGGGCCGCCCTCGGCATCCCAGTACAGTACCACATCTCGCCAGCGCGCGCGGGTAGTGTGGATGCGCTCGGCGATAGACTCGCAGACGGTCCTGACTGTGACACGATCCCTGTGCATGTTGGTGATGGCTAGGGAGTAAGGTCGGCGGACCGCTTTGTTGAAGACGGGTCTTCAGGCATCCCCGTTCCTGTGAACCCTGGTGGCCGCCTCGTGCCGTCGGGCAATCCCTGCTTGAGGACGCGACGCGGCCTCGGTGGTAGATACCATTGACCCTGGTATCCTGCTTGGCCTGGTTGCGGAGGCTCCCCCCCGGGGCCTGAAGGCGCTCGGGGGGGGTCCTTGAGGTCGTGCTGGGCTGGCGCGTTGCCGTATTGGCGGGCGAGGATGTGCGGAGGCATCCCTGTGGCACGGACGTCGAAATGGCTGTGCGGACGAGGCGGATGCGGGCATCTGCTGGAGAGGCAGCATGTGTCGGAGTCCCTGTTGTCGGTGCTGTACGCACACGTCCAGCTGTTGCAAGAGTAGTCCGTGGACCAGTCCATAGGTGCCCGTAGTCCGCTGAGGGAGCAGTCCGGGCACGTTGGTTGGCCCGAGGTGCCGAGCTGCGCGTTGCGGCGGGCAGCACAATACTGACAGCATTGGAATCGGCACTGTAGGCAAGTCCAGCGTCCTGGTAGGGGCGGGAAGGCTTGCTCGTCGGTGACTGCGTCGTCTGGGTGGGGTCGGGGTCGATCCCACAAGGGCCAGACGTCGGCGAACCAGGACTGGCCTGTAGTGCGGACCACCTCCGCGGGGAGGCGAGCGTCGTCAGCGTGGCGCTCGATCCACTGGGGCCCCAGGTCCGCTGGGATCATGACCGTGCGCCAAGTGTCGTCCGCCTTGACGTGGACTTGGGTCGGTGCCCAGAGCCTGGTAGTGGCATCGCCATGGTCATGGTGAAGGATGACCCAGCCGTCGCGACCCGCAACCGCAGGGTCGATAACGCGGTGGCCCACAACGGTCGCCCCCCACGGTAGGTAGGCGCCATCGTGATGCTCGCCCGGGTCAAGCCAGACCTCGACGCCAGGGGCGTTCACACGGGCCCGCACATCGCGGACGTGGAAGGCGAGGACGTGGTAGGCGGTCGGCTCCTCTTCCGTCTCGATGTGCTCCCACGTCTCGATGTCGCTGCTGTGAGAGGTGGAGTTTCCGCCGCTCTGCTGCGACGAACGCGAGGCGGATCGCCGCGAGAGAGAGAGAGAGAGAGAGAGAGAGAGAGAGAGAGAGAGAGAGAGAGAGAGAGAGAGAGAGAGAGAGAGAGAGAGAGAGAGAGAGAGAGAGAGAGACGAGAGAGAAGAGAGAGAGAGAGAGAGAGAGAGAGAGAGAGAGAGAGAGAGAGAGAGAGAGAGAGAGAGAGAGAGACGCCCAGCATTGTCCAGCAGGCAATAGGGCAGGCGAAGTCCACGCCCCAGCACCCATTGGGGTGGCGAGTAGCCGCCGGCGTTGACTGAGCTGTGCATGGCCCAGCACACGGCTGCGAGCAGCCACTGGATCTTTCGGGCGTTAACGGGCCAGTCGAACCTGACACTAAATTGGTCGATCTGCTTACGGGCGTGGATCTCCCATAGACCACCGCGCCGCTCGACAGCGGCATTCCGCTGCGGTGCAGCGGCAGATGTTGCCATGAGATGGCAGCCCATATCTTCGAATCCCACCAGCCCTTTGGGCGTGAATGGTTTAAAGAGCTCCCTCTGTTCTCAACCCCCCCAACCCCCCTTCTTCCCCTTCGGGGAGGGGTTTACCCCTCCCCCTACCCCCTCCCCCTGGGCCTGGAGAGGGAGGGCCGAGCGTCGTCAGGGGAGTCGTTTTCGACTCCTTGGAGGGCTAAAAAACGACGACCCTCACAAGGATTCTGGCCCCGACGGGGGGGCGGAGTTTGGCCCCTCTGCTTTTCTGTGAAGCCAAAAACATTGATTTTACTGAAGGGCGGAGTTTGGCCTTCTGAAGGGGGCCGCGCTCATCTTCCTTCATAGCAAAATCACTGATTTTACAAAAAGGTTTTGGGCTCATTGTGTCCTTCTCAGGGGGCAGCGCTCATTTGCGCTTCTGAGGAAGTCGCAAGAGGCCCCAAGGTGGCCCCAAGAAGCCCCCAGGAGGCTCCCAAGAGGCCTCCAAAGAGGCCCCCAAGAGGCCCCCAAGAGGCCCCCAAGAGGCCCCAAGAGGCCCCCAAGAGGCCCCCAAGAGGCCCCCAAGAGGCCCCAAGAGGCCCCAAGAGGCCCCCAAGAGGCCCCCAAGAGGCCCCCAAGAGGCCCCCAAGAGGCCCCAAGAGGCCCCCAAGAGGCCCCCACGAGGGAGCCCGAACGACTCACACCAGGACGAGGGGCCCGAACGACTCACACCACGAAGAGCCCGAACGACTCACACCAAGGAGGGGCCCGAACGACTCACACCAGGACGAGGCGCCCGAACGACTCACACCACGAGGAGCCCGAACGACTCACACCACGACGCGGGCCCCGAACGACTCACACCACGAGGAGCCCGAACGAGTTACACCAGGAGGAGGGGCCCGAACGACTCACACCAGGATGAGGGGCCCGAACAACTCACACCACGAGAAGCCCGAACGACTCACACCAGGACGAAGAGCCCGAACGACTCACACCACGAAGAGCCCGAACGACTCACACCAAGAAGAAGGCCCGAACGACTCACACCAGGACGAGAAACCCCAAACGACTCAAATCACGAGGAGCGCTTTCTCTCCCTCCTCCTCCGCCTCGTCCTTCTCCCGCTCCCCCCACAAGGAGGATGTGCAAGGAGGCGGGGAGAAGGAGGAACAGGGGAGATATGCGGGGCCAAGCGGACACACGCCTGGAGAGAGAGAGAGAGAGAGAGAGAGAGAGAGAGAGAGAGAGAGAGAGAGAGAGAGAGAGAGAGAGAGAGAAGGAGAAGGAGAGAAAGAGAGGAAAAAAAAAAAAAAAAAAAAAAAAAAAAAAAAAAAAAAAAAAAAAAAAAAAAAAAAAAAAAAAAAAAAAAAAAAAAAAAAAAAAAAAAACACACGACTGCCGGCATGCTTCGCATGCGTTGCTGCTGTGAGATGGGCCGGTGGGGATCCGCGAAGCGTGAAGAATTATTTTGAAAACTCTCTCTCGAACTCTCCTCCCCGTCGAATATCACACGTTGTGGGGCCCCAAACGGCGCAATCCAAACCTGCGGGGGCCCTGCTAATACCACGCTCGGATGTCGCGTCGAAACCGCTCCGCACAGGGCAAGCCCGGCAGCAAGGTCGACGATACTCCGGGAACCAATTGGTTCCCAGCATAATCAGCAAGTGCAAATAAATCCACGCCAATCGAATCGCTTACCCTATCGAGTCGAATTCTCCCAGGCATGCGCGGTAGAGGTCGCTGATGGGCGGCGCAAGCGTCGCAATGAAGGTTGAGAGCTATCTCGACCGAACGGTGCGATCCGCCGGCAATGCGTTGTAATGTCAATGTGCCCGATATGATGAAATGTCTTGGGCAGGATGCAGGAAAGGTGTAAAGCTACGCGCGCGCATGTCTGAATGCACCGTCGCGCACGCAATCCCGAGTAAGAATCGCCAACACACATCGAAACACATTTCGCATAAGGCAAGCCTTGCCCACCCTGCTAACCAAAACGAGTGGGCACGGCCAGAGGAGGGACAGGAGGGGAAGGAGGAGTGAGAGGACACAGACGAAGGAGGGGGCTTGGAGGGCAGAGAGGGAGGGCGAAGGAGGGAGGCAGAGGGGGGGAGGGAAAGGCGGTGGAAGAGGGGTGGTAAGGAAGGGGGAGGGGGGTGGACACTGCGAGGGCCCCCGCCTCTCCGCTCGCGGGCCCTGAACGGCGCCGTCGGGCTCGGGCGCGCGAAGCGCCGCTCCCCGCTTCGACCGATTCCGACCGCCCCACGTCGCCGCCGCTCTCCCTCATTTTTTGCCCCCCCCCCCCCCACCCCCCCCCCCCTTCCGCCCCCCCTTCCCTCTTCGGCCGCCGCCTTCGCTCTACCCCCGCCCCTCCACCACCACGTCCCTCCCCGTCCTCACCTCTCATCGCCATCCGAGCCGCTGTCGTTGTCATCGTCTCTGTCGCTACCTTCCGCCCCCATCTGATGCCGGCGCGATGGCACGGCGGCGGCGGCGATGATCAAGAGGAGGAAGAGGCGAGGAGGAGGAGGAGGCAATGCTAACCGCAGCAACGATCGCCAAGACTTGACTTGACGTTTTCAACCTCTGCTCTGAAACAAACTGGGCGCATCGGCGCCAGAACGTTAAAGGCCGCGCCACCCTGCCGCGAGCAACAGGCACTACACGCAGTGACGTTCCTGGCGGCAGGAGCTCATCCCCCTCCCCCTTGGAATCCCCCTCCTCGTTCCTTGCCCATCCAGGTTTTCTGCCAGAAGCGCTGGCACCTGGCCCCACTGAACTTCGAGCGACCTACTCCTACCCACTTGCCATCTGGGGCCGCGGCCTCGGCCACTGGAGCCTTGGCGACCTGGGCCTCTGGAGCCTTCTAGGCCTTCAGCCTCCGAGAAGAAGTATTCTTCTCAAGACCGTTGGACCTCTCTTTGGCGACGGGGTCTGCCTTCTCGTCGCCCACGGCTGCCGACGCCGACGCGGTCGGCTCTTGCGACTCCGAGTCGTTCAACTTATCCTTCAGGGTCTTTGGGAGCGCTTCCTCCGAGACTTTCAAAACTTGGTTGACCATTTTGCGGGCAGCCGCGAGGCCCTTAATGGCCAGCTCCCGCTCGGCGCCGCTGCCGGCTGGAATCTCGAGGCGCGCAGTCACCAGCACCGCGCAGGCTAGATTAAAAGAGGCAGCCGAGGAAAGCTTGCGGTACTCTGGCAACAAGCTTAAAAGACAAGTGATCTTCGTCTGACACTCGTCGGAAGCGAAGGTCACGCATGAATCAACCCGCTCGACTACGCTAGACCAAGTCTGGAGCTGAAGGGCAACGGTCTGCATATCCGAGGCAAGCACTGTCATCGTAGGGTCCGTATCGTGGTTAACCCAATCGAACTTCCCGAAACTCCACTTCTGGATGGCGTCGTCGAAGCCGTTGAACACAGCCATCCGATCAGGCAGAGTCTTCAGCAGGTCGAACTTGGCCATGTGTGCGCTCAAGAGCCTATCCCACTCCGCAGTCAACTCTGTCAGCGCCTCCCTGAATGAAGGGCGCCTCGTGTTGAACAGGCGCATGTGCTCAGCGACGGTGGAGTCTGCCATCGACGAAGCGTAGGCGTCCGAGAGAATCTTCGTCAGCTCCAAGACTCCACCTTTCCACTTCTTGTCCTTCAGCTTCTTGGCGACATCTTCGACGCGAGCGGCAAGAACTCCAATCCTCGCGAGGTCGGCGTTCACCTTCGGCAAAGACCAAGTGGAGGCGGCATCCAGCGCCCGCTGGCTGCAGCCGAGGTCGGCGGCCATGCGAATGGACAGCAACTCAACCAGCGCGTCGGTGACCATCTTTGGATTCCATTCCCGACAGAAGTCCCACAACCGTGGCTCCAAGAGCGTCGACCTATCCATGGGACATTTCTCGCGGGTCGACCTGACCATCACTTCCTTCTCGAACGGCGCGGACCAGTGCTCCAAGTCCAAGGTGATGTCGTACTCGCGGGGGTCGGTCACGACTCTCAGCAAGCTGAAGAGGTCGATCGCTGCGTTGAGGTGCCCCTTCAGCTCCATCAGCTTGAGGTTGGACTTCTCGCACTTCAAGCCGAAGGTGTTCAGAAGATTCACGGCCGCCTCGATCCACAGAGCCCTGTCCACGCATTCTGGGTTCTCAGGGCAACCCTCTTCGGCCTCGCCTTCTTCCAAAGGCGGCGGAAGAGAAACGGGAATGACCCGGGTAGCCGGTGCAAGAACCTTCCGAAGCTGGTCGCAACAGTTCGTCTCGAAGCCCACGATGAGCACGCCGTCGAGCAAGGGCGCCGCGATGCACTTAATCAGTTCCTTGGTGGCCGACGGCATCGCAGCGTCGACCGTCACGACGTTCTAACCTTAGCGACGGACTTGAGGTCGTCTTGCGACTCCTCGAGGAGGTCGGCAATGGCGTCGTGGATGCCGCGCCAAGCCTCGCCCATCTGTTGCAGCGCGTTGCTGTCACCAACCAATGCCCTTGCCTTGATGTTCTTGTGCGCCGTGATCTCGCTGTCGATCGTGTTCAACCGCTCAGTCAGCAACTCCACGTTCAGCTTCTCGTGAGCCCGAAGGGACTCGTCAGCCTTCGTTGCGACGTCCTTGACAGCCTCCCAAGCTTCTCGAGGATGTTGGACCTGCAAGCAGTTGATGACGCGGAAATGCGAACGGAGCCTAAGGCTGATCCGCTTCTCGTTCTGGACTAGCGCCTTGGCCATCAGCATGTCCGTCGCACTGAACGCAGTCGCGCCGCCCTTGAGGACGCTCAGGGACTTCGCCACAAAGTAGACGCACGTCAGATCCACGACCATCTGGGAGTACCACACCTCACCGTCACCAAGAGTTGGCCATGCCGAATCCTGAGTCTTGATGGTGGACACGTCGACGGGAACCTCAGGGATCTCCCCGAAGAAAGCGGCCATGACCAGAATGATGCCCTGGCTATCTTGGTTCCTGAACACGCGGTCGCAGAACGCAGGGAAGATGTTCGTCTGCGCTGTGCTCACCGTCTCCCCGCCGTCGACGCCAGAACACATCCCAAGAGACAGACGAGTGGATCTGCGTTTCGACTTGAGGACCTCAGCCAAGGCAAGCACCGTCGCCTTGTCGCTGCACTTCCCCGTGAGCTTCGCGGCCTCGGACACGATGATGTTTGCGAGGACGCCCTTAGGGGCCGCGTTGACCAGCCGCTGCTCTACCTCAGACAATTCACTCATGACCGCGAGGTGGAAGGAGTTCCGTATCTTCTCGAAGAAGAAGTGGCGGGCTTGGAAGTTCTCCGACGCTTCGAAGCACTTGTTGCTCAAGTCCGTCGCTACCTCGTTGTTCGTGACGGCGCCAGCTTTGCGACCCCATTGCTGCAGACTGCTATCGAAGTTATCGAAGTCGCGGCGCCTGCAACGCAACTCCCAATGCTGCTTGAAGCCCCATGCAGGTCCGTACTCCTTCAAGGCCTTCTCGGCGCCGTCGATGACTGCGTCGACAGCCGTGCGGCGTCGGACGCCCCGCTGCTGCTCCGCGTAGTCCTCGCTTACAACAGCGCCATTGCCGTCACCTTCGTGCTGAGCACGGCGCTTGTTGCCGCCGCTCGGGGTTGACCTCACCGCCGCCACGCCGCGCGCAGCAGGGGCCGCAACCCCGCCACCACGCGCCATGGACTTCGCTGCGGCGCCATGCGATGACAAGTCCACCCCATCGCGAGCAACTGCAGCAGCTGGAGCTGGCGGCGGGCGCGGGCCCTTGACGTCGGAGGCCGCCGCTGCTCGAGGCCTCGTCGCGGCGGGCGCCGCTGGCGCGCGCTGCGACGAGAGGGACTCGCCCTCCATGATCGTTGGCTCACTGTCAGCAGCTTCGGGCCCATGCAACGGAGCCGCCTCCACCCCCTCGAGCCCGATCGGCTGCGGGAGCCCGATGCCGTCAGTCATTTCGGCGTCCGCCTCCAAGGCCTCCTGCGCCATGCCGCCGTTCGAGCCATAGTCCTCAGTGCGGGCGTTGGCATGCCCCTCGCGAATACCGCGTCTCACTCGATAAGCGTTTGGATTCTGGTCTGGGATCTCCACCACGGTAACAACCCGAGCGTTCACGTAGACAGACATGTGTGGCCACGCGGTCTGGATGTGATTCACCAGGGCGTCGTAGTGCACCTCCTTGTCGTAGAACTGCCTGGGCAAGCCTCGGGTGGCAGCGAAATCCCAGATGGGCTCGCAAGTCGCCTCGACGAACTGTTCGCCGAAGCTCTCCTTGGAAACCTGGACCCAGTTCTTGGCGCAGATCTTCGCCTGACCTTGGAACTCCTTGCCACCAGACACTCTGTCACGGCGCATCGCCAAGAACTTCGCATCCAGCTCCGAATCATTCTGGCGCTCCTCCGAGAGCTCGCCGAAGGTGTTCAAGAAGAAAGTGCGACGCGCGTCGAAGCACCTGTAGCACTCCAGACCAGACGGCCCTCCCAAGTTAGTTTTCTTGTTCCACGCCAAGAAAGACAAGCGCGGACAGCCCCGATCCTGAGAACGCGTATCCCGATTGCAACTGGCGCACGTCTTCGGAGGAAAAACTGCCCACGGGCTCTTCTTGGGTTTGGCAGCGCCCCTGGGCGGCATCGTCTCTGCGGGCTGGATACACTGTCGAGCTGCGTGGGGCAAGCCTGCGGAGACGCAGTGAAAGAAGGCAACCTGAAGCCCAAATGGCAATGGCTGGACGGAGGAGGACAACGGGGGCGGAGGAAATGTCTGGGGGTTTGACCAACGTGGTTCTCCCAATGGTTTTGACCAGCGTGGACCTCCCGAGGGGTTTGAGTCATGCGGGGCTGACGGCTGACGTTTGATTTGGTTGAGCTTCCAACCCCACCAGCCCTTCAGGGCGTAGGTGGTCTAAGGCGTTTCTCTTCCACCCCCCTTCCTCCCCCTCGGGGAGGGGTTTACCCCCCCCCCCCCCCCCCCCCCTGCACCCTCCCCACTGACCTGGACAGGGGGGAGGGGGCAAGGGGTCAAACGTCAGCCCCAACTAAATCAAACGGAGGAGGAGGAGGAGGAGGAGGACCACCCACCACCCACCCACCACCCACCCACCACCCACCCACCACCCACCCACCACCCGCCGACCACCCACCCACCCACCACCCACCACCACCCACCCACCCACCACCCAACCCACCACCCACCCACCACCCACCCACCACCCACCACCACCCACCACCCACCACCCACCCACCACCCACGCCACCACCCACCCACCACCCACCCACCACTACCCCTACCCCCTCCCCACTGACCTGGACAGGGGGGGCCGCGAGCGGTCAGAGGATCCACCCCACCCCCTGTCTGCATAAAAAAAATATACTCCGACAGGACTCCCCTAGAGGCTCGGTGAACCCTAGAAGCCCCAAGATTATCTCAGGGACCTCAACCACCCACGCCCTAAAGGGCTGGTGGGATTGGAAGCTCAACCAAATCAAAGGTCAGTCCCACCAGCCCTTTAGGGCGTAGGTGGTCTAAGGCGCGTCTTTTCCAACCCCCTTCTTCCCCTTCGGGGAGGGGGGGGGGGGGGGGGGGGGGGGCGCGAGCGGTCAGAGGGTCCACCCCACCCCCTGCCTGCATAAAAAAATGCATACTCCGACAGGACTCTCCAAGAGGCTCGGCGAAACCCTCGAAGCCCCAAGACTATCTCAGGGACCTCAACCACCCACGCCCTAAAGGGCCGGTGGGATTGGAAGCTCAACCAAATCAAAGGTCAGTCCCACCAGCCCTTTAGGGCGCAGGTGGTCCAAGGCGTTTCTTGTCCAACCCCCTTCTTCCCCTTCGGGGAAAGGTTTACCCCCCCCCCCTACCCCCTCCCCACTGACCTGGGCAGGGGGGGGCGCGAGCGGTCAGAGGGCCCACCCAGCCCCCTGTCTGCGCAAGAAGGTATACTCCGACAGGACTCTCCTAGAGGCTTGGTGAAACCCTAGAAGCCCCGAGACTATCTCAGGGACCTCTAAGCCTCTAAAGATCTTGAGGTCCCTGAGATAGTCTTGGGGCTTCTAGGGTTTCACCGAGCCTCTAGGAGAGTCCTGTCGGAGTTTACCTTTATATGCAGACAGGGATTGAATAGAGCCGCCCCACCCCCTCGATCGACCAGCCCTGGGGGAGGAGGAGGAGGAGGAGGAGGAGGAGGGGGAGGAGGGGGAGGAGACCAACTGCCGATGATCGGCGCCTTTCGTTCGGGCATATGGTGTAGGATGGGCTGGTGGGGATGCGCGAAACGTCAACAATTGCATCGACTACGATGCGCTCCACGGCTGGGGCCCTAGCACCCTCGCAAGCGCGGCTTGGCGCCTTGAAAAAAGCATGGCGTCCGTCCACTTCCCGACTTGGTCTGGAAGCTCGTTTTCGCTTAGCGAAACGGGATGCTGCATTGCCCAGACCGAGACACGGCGGACAGGCGCCATCTTTTTTCGAAGACCCCCGAAGCCCACTATCTTTGAACTCCTCTGAGGCCTGAGGACCCCCACAGACGGATCAGGCAAGCAAGCGACCACCGGCACAGATTGCGACGCATGATTCGGTCATGCGTTTGTTCAGGGCGGAGGGGCTTGAACATCGATAGGGATACGCTTTTTTCACCCCCCGCGCCCAAGGATGTCAAAAACTACTGACAGTTACAGTGTGCAAGGGAGGGGGGGGCTCGAACATCGATAGGGGCGCATCGAAATCATAGCGGAGCTCAGAAACTGCTGACAGTCACAGCGTTCAAGCCTGAACAGGGTATGTTCAAGGGCGGGAGGGGCTTGAACATCGGCAGGGGTATGTTTTTTCGCTTCGACGTTCTTAAAACTACCGACAGCATCGATGTTCAAGCCCAGCTTGGGCCTGAACAGGGTTTGTTCAAGGGCGGGAGGGGCTTGAACATCGACAGGGGTATGCTTTTTCGCTTCGACGTTCTTAATGAAAAAACTACCGACAGCATCGATGTTCAAGCCCAGTTTGGGCTTGAACAGGGTTTGTTCAGGGCGGGAGGGGCTTGAACATCGATCGGGGCATGCTTTTTTCAACCCTCGCATCCGAGGACGTCAAAAATTACTGACAGCTACAGTGTTCAAGGGGAGGAGGGGCTTGAACATCGACAGGGGTGCCCTTGAACAGAGGGAGGGGGCAAGGCTCGAAAATGCCGACAGCTTCAGTGTTCAAGGGCGTGTCTGCTTACCGGTGGGTGGCTGGGAGATCTTTTCAAGCCAGCTTGCGGAAGTAAAACGCACCCAAATGTTCAAGGGCCCCCGCGCTGCATGCGACTGCGCTGGGCCGAGATAGACGGGCACCCTGACATGAAAAAGACACAGCGCGTAGATCATGCAAACGCAATGTTGCGAAATCAAGCGCCGCGCGATGATGCGGCGCCCGAGACGCCCCTGCGGGCGAGCAGACAATCGAAAAGAACATCGTGCTCTTCGCCAGCGGCCTGCCCGAGCATGCGTGTTAAAGCGGCCACATCGGCCTCGAGAGTGGCTGGCAAAAACGCGTCGCGCCTCACGCACCTCGCATGCACTCGGACCTCATTACTGATACTCCAGCTCGGTTTCAACCTGTGCCAGATTCGCCACTCGTCTTTCAAAATCTTATTCTCGCACGCCCAGCAAATGCCTCGTGATGACGCTGCCCTATCAAGAACCCTAATACCTACACTCGGCAAGACAGGCGGAGGAGGAGGGGGAGGGGCAGGGTCGTCGCCAGACGAGTCTGCCGAGTCGAACAGCTCTGATACACCATCTTCCTCCTTTCCATCGCCAGCATCGCTGCTGAGATCATCGTCTACGGGCCCCTTAGGATCTGCCGCACCCTCGCCGCCGCCGCCGCCTGGGCCCGGCGGCCTTTCGAAGGGGCTTGCGAAGGACATGCCGAAGGGAAGCTGGACAACATCTTTCGGGGGACCACCGCTTGCTTTTGCCTTCACTGTCATCGCCGCGGCCAGCGAAATCTGTTCAACAAAAATTGCCTCTGCGCCGACAATCGCAGCAAACCTGTCAAACGTATCAGGGCCCCTCCAAAATCGGTAGCACGCCAAACTCAATCCCCCAACTGCAGCTGGTGACTCATCCTCAAATCGAGCTATGACCTGATGCGACGCGACGTTCACAATCTCACGATCTTGCACACGCATCGTCACACGACACTTTGCATATGCAGCGGGGACGTCCTCCGCATCCATCCGCACCAAGTCCGACCTCTCACCCTCCCCGAATAGAAGAAGAGGGGAAAAAAAAAAAAAAAAAAAAAAAAAAAAAAAAAAAAAAAAAAAAAAAAAAAAAAAAAAAAAAAAAAAAAAAAAAAAAAAAAAAAAAAAAAACGACAAAGCAAGGAGAACACCGCGTTGCTACCGTCCACGCACAGGCTGATCAAGGCAGGGAACGATGTAACATTGCGCCCCCCCTCCCTCCCTCTTTGCACTGCCACCCTCCATCGCTGCCCCCCCAGCACTTCCCCGCGGGCGGCAAAGGGACATCACGAGCATCGACCTCTAGAGAGAGGGGCTGAGGGCAGAGGCGATGAGTCGAGCTGAGAAGCGCGGGAGGATAATGGATGGGAGACGACAAACTACAATGAAGGCATGTGCTGATCATCCCCCCCTCCTTCCTGCACTGCAGCTGCTACGAAGATTGCCCATCGCCCCAGGACACCCCACGTCGCAAACACCCGGGCTTTTCCCTTCGGCCCCGGACCGTGGACCCGAGCGCACACGAAAAAACTGCCCTGTCTCCTCCCACCTCCTGCTGCTGCCCCCGCCCACCTTCTGAAAACTGAATACAGGCTCACAGTCCCAATGCGCGCAGCTCCCGTAGACCCGCCCTCCACGCAGAGTCCAAAGTACTTCCCGCAACAGAGCGGATCACCCCGCATGGCGCCGTCTGGGTTCTGGATCGGCACGTGGTCGTAGCCGAAGGTGGAAGTGATCAAGCCGTTGATCGTTGACAGTGGTTCTGCTGATACCAGTGCTGGCCTCAAGGGCGACTCGAAGTCGCCCGTAGCTGAGCCAGCTTGCCAAATCTGAGACCCGCGCATGCCCCTGAACGTGCGCTCCACTGACCGCCCCCGCAATGTTCGAGCCCTCTGGCGACGATGCGTCAAAGCACCAACGGCATCCGCGGCGCGGACCCCGACGAAATCGCCGGCAGCATTGTCGAGCGACTCCGTCTCCCCATCAGCGACTGCTTGAAAGAAAGCCTTCCTTTCATCAGGCAGGTCACGCCAAGTCGCAGCAAGGCGCTTGAGACGATCTCCCGACGACTCTCCATCGATGGGCGGTGCGTACATCTCGTCGCCGATCGACATGAAGATATCGTAAGCTCTCACCCGCCTGCGCTTCGCTCGGTTCATCTCACCTGAACCCGAGCAAACTTTGTACGAGACCTATGTTGCTTCACATCAGCAATTTGGCCCCTGCTGACTTTTTCAAAATAATAGATTGGGATGAAACGCTGCCGCTGGATATATCGAGCACAATTGATCACAACACAAACGCTCCTGCGATCCCCGCCAAAATGGCAAGAAATGGTAAGCTCAGATCCGCATGGCTACATTGCAACCGAACCGCTTGACCACCATCTCGACCGAACTGGCGGAATTCGACC